CACTGTCTATCGCTCTCGCTCTTTATCTCTCTCTCCCTTTGTCTTTCTGGCTATCTCTGTCTGTCTGTCTCTCTCTCTCTAACTCTCTCTCTGTCTCTAACTCTCTCTCTGTCTCTCGCCCAGGTTGCCGTACACGTTCGTAACGAAGGAGGTTGCCGAGGCGACGTGTGACTGTCTCCTGGAGCAGGCGAGGAAGGCGGAGCGTTATAACCAGCCTCAGGCGGTGGCAGAGAGACTGATCCTGGAGGAGTTTGGTCACTGTCTGCGCAGAATCATCAGCTCTGCTGCTAAAGCCAAGACGGACTGCTCCATCAACTGCTAGAGCCTCCCACGCTGCGCTTCTGGGAACTGATCCTGGATCAGACGTCCTGTAACGCACTCTGGCCTGTCAGCGGGATTTCCGGGACGGAGCTCGTGCTTTTGTATAGAACGAGACTTCTATTAGCTGATCGTACACAAGCGTGTGTGCGTGCGTGTGTGTGCGTGCGTGTGTGTGTGTGCGTGCGTGTGTGTGTGCGCGGGCAGGCGGAGCTAAAGTGGACACAGAGACAAACTTTATAAGATGAGAACTGCAGTGGCTGCCAGCTTCATCTGCATCATTCTGGCGTGTGTGTGTGTGTGTGTGTGTGTTTGTTTGTACAGGTCACTTGTGTAGAGGGAAATTGATTTTAGAGTCATTTTTATGCTTGTTAGCCTTCTCATTTTAAACTCACAATCATATGTGGTTTTTTTTTTGGTTTTCTCTCTTTCTCAACAAGGCTTTCATTCTGTGCCGTTGTTTTGCCGTCTCCTCTTGCTGTTTATTTACCGCGAATAACCTCAGCTCAATAATCATGACTTGTATACAGTACGTAGCCTTTACTGTAGCCTCTTCATAATGCATCAGTATTTATTTACTAATTACAGAAATCCGAGAGGACGTGGAGTCAGAGTCTCGCGCTCATGTCTGGTTTGTATGATTGATTTCCTGCTGAAGTGAAGGAAGGTTAAAGCATTATTACTAAACCCTGTTCATCTCTTTAATCTGTCTGTCTCGTTTCTTCTCTTCTTTAAAGCGTTTTCCGCTCTCATCTCTCTCCACTCTGGCTGGAGTGTGGAGACTGAGCAGGACGCTGGTGTGATGGTCAGATTTTTTCACTGCTCATGATTTTAATCGTCTAAAATTACACAGGAAAAGGAGCCTTTCCACTGTTTCAGGTTTAATGCGAGTCGAGTGCGAGTGTGTAATAATATCATCAGTTGGAAACTGCAGCAGTGATAAGTGAAAACTCAGCTGATCAGTGATTCTGCAGTAATGCTCCGTAAACAGGAAATAAAACACAACAGTACATTTTCAGTATAAATGTTTAAACATCTGATTAGTTAAACGTCCACGTGGCCGACGTTTCCTCTGATGATCTGCTGCTCAGAGAGTTTGAACATGTCTGACTGCTGAGCAGCGAAGGAGAGATCAAAAACAAAAAAAACAAACCAGTGTGTTTAATCACTTTCTAATTATCATTCATTTATAAAATATTAGTTTTAACACTGTTGTAGGACTGTTTAATCCTTTAGGTCAAAGTTTTCAGGTTTTTTTTTTTTTTTTAAACTCTTTCCAAAACCCAAAGTGCCATTTTTGACCATTTTTAGCCGAAATGTTTCAACAGCATCCTTAATAAATACAGCACTGCGCAAAAGTCCTAATTTTTTTTCCAGTACAAATAATGTTAGAGATTCCTGAGTCAGTAGAATACCTTTTTATATTTCCAAACCTTTCTTTTCCAACAAAAAAATTAAATGTTACAGAAAAATGTTTGAGAGTAAAGAAAGCAGCACATTATGTAACAGAGCACTTTTCAGACTGCTGGGTTTTACTGCGAAAACTCTGTACTGTAACTGATTAACTATACACACACACACACACACACACACACACGTGTCTGAACACAGACTGTTAAAGAAAGTTAAGGCAAGGGCTGTACACTCAGTGTCCACTTTATTAGGAACACCTGTACATCTGCTAATTTATGCAGTTATCTAATCAGCCAATCATGTGGCAGCAGTGCAGTGTATAAAATCATGCAGATACGGGGCAAGAGTCTGGACATTCTCCTCTGATCTCTCATCAACAAGCTGTTTCAGCCTGCAGATCCTCCTCTCACAGGATGTTTTGAGTTTTTTTACACCATTCTGTGTAAACTCTAGAGATTGGTGTGTGTGTGTGTGTGTGTGAAAATCCCAGGAGATCAGCAGTTTCTGAAACACTAAAACCATGTACAGCTGGTACAGTACACAGCGAAATGAAATAACGTTCCTCCGGGACCAGGGTGCTCCATAAACAACACAGAGCTATATGAGACTACACATTACTACATAAAGAGCACATGCAAATGTATGCAAACAGCACGAGACAGTACAGTAGCTACTAAACCAGGACAATAGACGCAGTGAGAGACAGTGCAGCGCCGACCAGCACACAGCTCTAGTGTGAAAGTGTCAGATATAACAGTAGTGCAAAAGAATAACAATATAATAAATTGCTGTGAATGTAAACATACCATGATGTAGTATTCAGCAGATAAGCTTATACCATATATGGACATAGCAGTTATTGGGGAAGCAGCCAGGTAGAGAGTAATGACAAGAAATTATATACAATATTTATAAATACTGTAGCAGCAAAAGAATGTAGGTAGTAAATACAGAAATGTGAAAAAATGCAAAGGGATGTGGGATGGTGTTCAGTTGAGAGAGAGTGTGTGTGTGTGTGTGTGTGTGTGTGTGTGTGTGTGTGTGTGTGTGTCGTCAGTCAGTGTTGAAGAGTCTGATGGCTTGGGAAGAAACTGTTGCACAGTCTGGCCGTGAGGTCCGAATGCTTCGGTACCATTTGGAGGATTAAGAGTGTGTGTGAGGGGTGTGTGAGGTTGTCCACAATGCTGGTGGTTTTGTGGATGCAGCGTGTGGTGTAAGTGTCTGTGATGGAGGGAAGAGAAACTCTGATGATCTTCTCAGCTGTTGTATACAGTTGTGCCGTTGTACAGGTGTTCCTAATAAAGTGGACGGTGAGTGTATATAAGGTGGAGTGAAATGAGCAGTGGGCGCCCCAAGAGTCAGCCAGTAATTCATCTGAAAGAGGTCACTGCCATTAGGGAACACCGTTGCCATGAAGGCATGTACTTGGTCTGCAACAGTGTTTAGGTAGGTGGTACGTGTCAAAAGAACATCCACATGAATGCAAAAATTGTTCAGGAACGGTTTGAGGAACATGAAAAAGAGTTCAAGGTGTTGACTTGGCCTCCAAATTCTCCAGATCTCAATCTGATTGATCATCTGTGGGACGTGCTGGACAGACAAGTCCGATCCGACCTGCCTTGATGGATCAGAGCTGTTTTGGCGGCACAAGGAGGACCTACACAATATTAGGCAGGTGGTTTTAATGTTATGGCTGATTGGTGTGTGTGTGTGTCTGTGTGTGTGTGATGTATATCTATGTATATGCTACCCTAATAACTGCTAGGTGGACCAATAAAGAAACATATATATACATATATACAAAAGAGAGTTCTCTTGCCTAACTCCTTTACAAAAAATAGAAACCCGAGAGAAATGGCGGTCGCACCCCTACTACCAGCGAACGTATACCACTGTGATTATTTACAGTATCTAAGCAGCCAAAAGCACAAGGGGCAAATCAAGCTCAAGGAATCTGCCTTGGGCACTAAATTACAGGGTGAACACCAACACCAAGGACTCGCACTAGGGACAGCTAGTCCATGTGTAATTAAGTACTCTGTCTCTTTCTTCATCACTGCACGCTTAACTGGGTTTGTTCTGGCGTGATCACCTGCGTCCATGTCATGCTCTGTTGATGTTATGCGAGACGGGACAAACTAGGGAAACTTTTAATCAGTGCTTTATATCTCCTCCTGAAGAGATACTTCTCAGGTGAACACTGTAACACATCAGTGTTAGACAAAAGAAACACAATTTCTACCAAAATGTAGACGCTCCCTCTGGGGAGTATTCAGAAGCTGCAGCGTTACCCTCTGCACAGACGGGCTCTGACTCGGGGGTCAGAGGTGTGAGCGTGGTGCTTCTTCAACAAGTCTATATGGCAGATATGAGTTTTAAGTTTGCCATCAGGAGTACTGATTACATAATAAGTGCAGCTTATTTAAGTTTCTGTCTAACTTCATAACATCCAACAAATCTAGTCTGGAGTGAAGATCCTGGCACTGGCAACAAAACTAAAACTTTAAAATCTCTAGCACAAAATGACCTTGGAACTGCCTTACAGTCATCCTGCATGTCATCCTGAGAGGAACTTAAAGCTCTATGAGCGGTATCCCATGCTAACCTCAAACGTTGGGGTGCATGAAGGGTACAAACATGCATCAAAGTGGCCTTATCTTGATGGGCTGGAGCAGGACCTTTAGTGGTCCTTGTATGTTGTGGGTTCAGAAGAACTAAAAGCAAGAGCCTCCTGCACAGCATCACAGACAGCAAATGACAAAAGAGGAACACGCTCATCCCGGTCCTTCCCAGTTTCCATGCAATACGAGCGCAACATGTTCTGATGGAAATGCTCAAGGGCAGCTTGTGAGATAGGCACAAGAGACCTGATGGTTAATTTGCAATTCCCAAACCACATGAGAAAACAGCTGTGACATGAAGTTAGAACCATGATCAGTCTTTACATTTAGGCTCGCCAAACTTGGTGCAGAATTTTACCCGTGCTTTAATGACCATATTAGACTTGAGAGTGTGCATAGGAATAGCTTCTGGAAACCGAGCGGCAGAACACGAGTGTTAGCAAATAACAGCTGCCAGAATGTGACTTGGGCAGGGAACCAGCACAATCAACAATAATACGCTCAAACATCTTGATTCGCTTTAGCTACTAGCTGACGTGTGAAAAGTTCGACAATCGCAATGCTACATCGTCCTTCATGACAGGCCAAACAAAATTCTTTAATGCGTGCAAGTATGTTTTATGAACACTGTCTATGGGGTGTGTTTTGGGCAGTGCTAGCTCAGTGGATAAGACACTAGACTTCTGCCTGGAAGGTCATGAGTTCAAATCCCAGCGCTGCCACTGCACAAGGTCCTTAACCCTCAACTGCTCAAAAAAATGAGATGAATGTTAGTCGCTCTGGATAAGGGCATCTACCAAATGCCATAAATATAAAATTGTAAAATATACAGTATCACCTGCATGTCCAGAGCAGAGACGGTCAAGAGCAAAGTTTAAAGCTTGGTTTCTGAGGGAACAAGGGACCACAATGGGAACAATGCTTCCAGCCAACCATCAGTTGACGGAGACCCAAGATTTCCTGGACCAAACTTAGGTCCATCAAATGTTCCTCATGACACGGGAAAGACTCAAATCCACCACATCACCCAAGTTTCTCCTGAGCAGCAGCATCAGGACAGTAACTCACAGGATCAGACACAACTTCAGCTAAAGAAAAGAGTTTATTTCCAGCTATATCATTTCCCAGAATGAAGGAAACACCACTGACTGGCTGAGCTGAAAGAACAGCCACGTTTACAAGACCTGAGAAAGCCTCAGTTTCCGGATCCACACTGTGCACGGGCACACGGCCAGTTCAACACCTTGAGTTAAAGAAGCTTCTGAAAAGCAGACTTTCTAAAATAAAGGGAAAAAAATAAAGGTCTAATGAGGGTTCAGTCTGTGGAGAACAGTAGCCTGAACAAACTCCAACTGTAAACTCTGTTCCAGAGTGAGAGCTCAGCATGCTTCCTGTGCTTCTCCTGAACATTTACACTGCAGCAACAGTGTCCACAAACCTTTACACCAGTTTAACATAGAGGCTATTCTCTCAAACACATCAACTTCATGCTCCTTAAATACAGGAACTAGAGCAACATGACAGCTAACATCAGAAACAGGCTGGTTTGCCAGTGAGGTCTGGACTGGAGACATCAGAGATGCTGCAGAAGAGCAGAACGTCTGTAGAAGAGGAGCCAGGTCGAGCTTCTTCCCCTCAGCCTCCAACTCCCTCTCTCAGACTGGTCCTCTTACCTCTTAACTTCCAACTCCAGCTCCTTCTGCATCTACATCAGCCTCCAGCTAATCGTCCAGCTGTGTAACAGCATCTGCAGCACCAGACTGGCTGAGTGGCATCATCCAGAAGCTCCTCTCACCTGCTCAGGTAAGATCTGCTGAACCACTAACACAGCACTCTGTAATCTTCTCCACAAAGAGCCGGTGTAGCTGCAGACTTTTCCTCCAACCAAACAGGAGCCACAGCTGATTCCACTGGTTTAATCAGTTCACTTTAACCTCCAATCAGCTATCAGCTGTGGCTCCTGTCTGTGTGGAGAAGAGCCGAGACTCCTGCTGTAGCGTCTCCTACACAACAGCTTTAAATATATATTAATATAGCACAAACAAGTCAGCTATTAAATATCCTGTTCACACACTTTAGTGTGTGTTTTTTATGTGTGTAGCTATAAGTATTTGCTCTATTACTATATTTCTGTACGCATCAAACATTTTCTTCACATTTTATTATTTTACACCATATTATTTCTGTGTAATTATTTAATTTAATTTCATTATTATTTAATTATGAATTAATCTAATTATTAAATCTTTAATAATCTAATTATTAAAATCTAATTCTTAATTTAAAAAAAACAAATAGTAGAATTCCTTATTTTTTTTTTACATTTCATTTAATTACTATTTAATTAACAAAATTAATTAGTTAAAATAATTTATTATTAAAAATAATTATTTTATCAGGTAACTTATTACACATGCTGTATTTAAAATACCTTTTTAAGCCTTTTCTTTACATGTAGAAATATTACTACTCATAATACTCACTGTCATGATATTTATAAATATAATAAACACATTTTCTACATCTATTACTTCAGATAATGGTACTACTTCCTGTACACCTGTACAATTTATTATTTATTGAATTTATTAATGACTCATTTTTTATTAAACAACAATTAACAGCTATTCCGGATCTCAAACAGATGAAATAAAATCCCCGGATGTTTTTAATGCGTAAGTGCGCTGAAAAGAATACAGTCTCTTTTATAAACCCTCCTGTCCGCTAGGTGGCAGTAGGCGTGGTTAAAGGAACAGCACGTGATTTATAAACCCTCCTGTCCGCTAGGTGGCGGTGCGCAGCGCCGGGATACAAACTCACAGAGGAAGAACTTACAGACTTGAAAACAAAGCATGATTCCGAGATCTTTAAATTAATTTATTCACTTTAACTGATTTATAAATTCATTAAATCAGGAATATAAATTAAAGGAAATTTAACGATGGCGTCAAATCCTCCGGGACAAGGTACCGATAAACACTGAGATCAGTTCGGAAAAGAAGTTTTATCCGTGTTGTTTAGCTAAAGAGCTAACTCTTACAGCTTCCGGTGTTCACATCAGTTTAATAAGTGTTTATGTGTTTATTTTAATTTTCAGAGCCAAATTCTGATTCACTTAAGCAACAAAACAATGTTAATAATAATCATTTAACTCTTTAATATTATTTACTAAATTGTAAGAGTGTTATAATGCTGACTTTAGACGCTCTTTAGGAGGCATAAAGCTTTAATCTCTTCAAAATGAGCCTTTATTATTTGTTTGTTTATTTTTCCAGTTTTCAGTATTTAAATATTGCGTATTCTTATTTTGAGTCATATTATTATTATTATTATTATTATTATTATTATTATTATTATTCTATAAGCCAAAATAAATGTTATAAAGTACTCAGCATTAATTTCCTGCAGTGTGAAATTGTGCTTTTTTTCTGTTTTCTCTGCAGGATTTCAGAATAAAAACCGAGTGGCGATTTTAGCTGAGCTGGATAAAGAGAAGAGACGCCTGATCCAGAGTCAGTCCATGAACAATCCTGGGGCCAGGTGAGAATTTACAAGTTTACACACCCCCTATAACAACAACAAGATGAAGAAGATGGAGAAAAGTTTACATCCTTCTTTCAGAATGTGATAAACTTTCTTTAATAACCTGCACGTCCACTCGACCGAGACTCAGATCTGCTTCAGAACCTTTTTCAGAATTTTCCTGTTGGTTTTGTCTCAGAGACAATAAAACCAGGCCACTGTAAATCTCTCACACACTCTCACCTCATCATGAACATCTGATTTACACACCGTCTGCAGTGCTGGAGGTTTATTTATGGTGTAAGATCTTCACCAGATCACATCTTCTCTGTTTCTCTCTCTCTCTTGAAAGAAGCGTAAACTCCTCTGTCCTGAAAATGTCGGAAAACTTAAAGTTACAGCTTTACCTCTGACTGTTACAAAGCGCTGACACTGGAGACTCCTTCCATAAATATTACATAAACACATTTCTCCTCACCTTCTGACCAATCAGAATCCAGAATCCAACATCTGTGTGTTGTAATTATATTTAATCTGTGCTGTGATCGTAAGTGGATTTTTCTGTGTGTCAGTATTCCGCTTTCCAGACCTCCAGTGAAGGAATTTCGGGATCACGCGGAGCAGCAGCACATCGCCGCGCAGCAGAAAGCAGCTTTACAGGTAACGACTCAGAGCTCCAGTGTTTTACTGAGTGACGCTAAAATAAAATTTTCTGTTCATGTAGAAGAATCTAATAAATGTATAGTAGCTGAAGAACTTTGTGATTTTACCGTTTCAGCACGCACACGCTCACTCTTCGGGCTTCTTCATCACACAAGACTCCTCGTTTGGAAACCTGATCCTTCCCGTGTTGCCTCGACTCGACGCAGAGTGACAACGAAAAAAAAAAACACTTGTTAAAAAGACATTTTGGCTTCTACAGAAAAAAACTCCATTTAAACGTCACATCAGCTTTAATGTCGGGTTTTAAACGCAGAACATCTCCACTAGCTCCACACTGACTGACTGACTGACTGACTGACTGTGGGGTTTACTGATTGTACTGTTTCTGTATTTCATAAAAAATAAAGAAATGTGGACACGAGCTGCTGTTGTACGTCTGTATCACCATATAGCAGAGCAGCGTGTTTCAGACGGGTGGCTCGAGTCTGCGGATGGACGGAGGAAGCCCTGGTGTGAAAAATATGGGAAGAAATGGAAATGATTCAATACTAATCAGGTTCTAATAACATTAACCTTTGTTTAAAAAAGTTTTGTTCAATTACAAATCCTTCTTTGATTGAATTATTTACCAATTTAGCCAACGCTGTGTTAGAAGTAATGTTAGTCATTTATTTAATTAATAACCAAAACACAAATCTGTATCTCTGTCAGATGAAAACTGATGACCATTTTTATTTGTTCTTTAAATTAAATTTCTTGTCTTTCAACCCTTAATTTAAACGCACAGATTGGCCAAAGTGTGAAATTCACAAGGCAGAGAAAAATCACTTTTCTAAGAAGTGTTATTGCATCATGAAATATAAGAACCAATCGGATTCGAATGTGCAAATGTTGATGTAAATGTACACTGGTTCACCAGAGGAAGGGGGTGGAGTTTGTAGAGTTGGATGGGTTTAATAATTTGCATATTTATACTTTTGAGATGTTTGTGCTTTTTTTTGTTGTTGTCTCAGGACTTTTGTTTGTAGAACCGACACTGAGACACTCAGGAACACACCTGAGATGTTCTTGTTCGTACCTGGGTCAGTAATAACGCTAAAAACTCTCCGATCCTCAGCGTTACAATGAACGCAATACTTTAATTCTGTAAAGTGAATTTTTTAAGTGAAGTTGATTTTATTTTATTATTGCATGCCCATGAAAGCACCGTGTGTGTGTGTGTGTGTGTGTGTGTGTGTGAGAAATCGAGACTCATGAACACTGTGGGATAAAATGTGCTTTAGAAATGAAGTAAAAACATCAGAGTGTGTGTGTGTGATAAGCATGCAGTGAAAATTTTAAACTCTGTGTGTGTGTGTGTGTGTGTGTGTGTGTGTGTGTGTGTGTGTGTGTGTGTGAGATACAGAGGTCAACACTGGTCCATATCTGGCACAAACTTTATACGAGACAGAAAACCATCATCATCTCTGATACTGTAGTGTAAATATTCATACGTTAGACTAAAAACGAGTCGAGGATAAAGTCAGGAGGAATTTTA